ACAGAGACTCTACCTCCATTGCTGATTGGCTTAGGCTTGGCCAGTGGCAGGTCTGTCTTAGAGCTGGCTGGCACTGGCTGTATCGGACACAGGGGAAACTTCTCGCAGCTTCTCACAGAAGTCACCCCTGTAATCCCCCTGTATCAAAACCTTGCTATGCAAACCCATTACACAGTGGAGGTGGCATTAACACTGAGTACCAGTTGAAAAAGAAACAATTTAACTACATCTTTTATCTTACTCCTTTCATACTAAGTTCTTTTAATATCAAAGGTCCTATGAGAAAAGCTTTTGATCTTGACATTTCAGACTTTCCCTCCCGCTTCACAATCACAGTTGTCTCCTTCTGTCTCTCATTTCCCGCTGTCTCCAGTTTTTCCAAAATGATGTTGCTGTTTTCCTACCACCATCTTAAGAGAGGAAAAGCCAGTGAAAGGATAAGCAGTGCAGCTCTGAAGAGGGACACTCATGCCACAGTCTTGACCAATTTATAATTTCTAGTCCATGCTGTGCACTGTGTTACTTACTTCATTTCTGCACAAATTACACTAGAAAATTAAAGCAATGAAAATTACCTTCTTATGGCCTCTTATTTTCAGTAAACAGTTGCTAATGAGAATAGTGGTCTAGTAGTGTTTACCAAACAGTTCACCTTCAAATTCCTGTTGAATACCAACTATTCTTTAAATTCTTCTTTTCTAGACTACTATCCTGTGTCTGGTGTCTTTTCATCTTGGATTGCAGTCACATTGGATACTTTCTACTCTTTGTAAAGTGATACTAAAAACTATTCGTGGTATTAAAATTAATTCTGTAAACTGTGCTCTTCTTAAGCTTTAGTTTTTATGTCTTGAGGGCTCAGAAGTCTTGGTGAAAAACAAATGGATAGTAAAAGAATTATTAGCTGATGTGCATTGAAAAATTAGCCCTCACAGATGAACTTAGTCTATCACGATATGCTTATAGAGGTGTAAACCACTGCTGTTCGGTCCTGTAACAGTTTTTCTTATGGAAAAGAGCCTTCGCAGGAAGAGCCCCACAAAAGCATCTTTAGTGCCGTGAGCAGCAGATCTATTACAAGCTTTTCCCCACTTCTTTTGCCTACAGGCTTTCTTCTGGCCTTTCCTGAGTTCTAAGTCCAAGGCACTGGTGTTCAAAATAGTGTCAAAGGGTTTGAGATTTCATTTTATTACAGTATTTCCACGTGTATTGCTTTATTATGGCAGAATGCGATAATCTTCTGAAATTAACTGCTCTAGATATTTTACAAGCACAGCTGGGGACTTCCAAATACAACTATTAAATGGCAGGCATTTTCTCCTTTGTAAAAAGAGTAATAATTACTTCCTAATGAATTAATGCACAACTTGTGTGTTACTAATCCAGCAGTAATTAGTCTGTGACCAGCTGAATCCATCCAAAATTTTAGTGTAAAGTGTCGTACCTTATGTAAACTAAATAATTGCAAAATCCTCGCTGCGGTATTTTTGGTTTACTTGAAGAATACATTCACATGACAAAAACTTGTTAATTAAAACATAATCTATGAATCTTTGTTGATAAATCCTGTCTTCTGTACTTAACCCCTGATTTTTCTGACAGTGTCTCTCCATGGCGACAGCTGCTGTGCTATCTTCTAGTCATTGTTCTCTTCTTCCTTCTGTGCCATCTCCATGCCCTTTCCCCCATAACAAATGAATTTATGTGAAAGCATCGAGTTGTTCTTTTAATGTTTGGAAAGCCTAATAAAATATTGCTGGAAAGGTTAGGATATAAATAGAGCCCAAAGTGAATTGAGAGGCAATGACGAAGTTTGCTTTTCTTAAAAAGAGAATAGGTGCACATTAAAACGCTGAAGGCACTACCATATTCAATGAACAGTTTAGAAGTTAACAATTTCGAAGAACAAAGTGGAGGCAGTAAGACTATTTTTAAGGAAATACTATCTTCTTCAGGAAGACAAGGGAGTTTGTTCTAAAACGTTTTAGGAAAAAAAAAAAAGAAATAGAACAAACGAGCTTGTCAAAGGCAACCTCCTGGTTTCTTTCAACTCAGCAAGGGAAGAATCTCATCTGATTTTGGCAGATATATTATTTTCCCTTAAAAATTAACCAAAGTACTAGAAATAAACATTTGGTCTGAAAAATGACTTACAGGAAGCTAACCACAAGGGGAAAATTTCTCAAGGCTGTGGAATAAATAGGAAGACTTATTCTCTGTCACCCCTCACTTTGCTATCCTAGATATATATATAACATAAAAATTAAGAAACCAGAAATCGAAGGCATTGTTTTCAGACACAAGAATATGAAGCCAGAGTAACTTAGATACAGCTGTAGCTTTTGGGGGTGCTGGTATATGGTAGAAAGTGCTAACTCCACTGACCCTCGGTACCTTGTTCTGAAAGTTGTCACTCTTTCAGCAGAGATGGCTGAACAGTTTAGTTTCTGAACTGCTGGAGTTCACAGCCCGGTACGCTGGCACAAGCTGCCATCCACGTTAGGTTATCTTAACATGCTGGTCTGTACACTGCAATGGTGCAGAAGCTGAGTCATGAACCAGTTGAGCTGTCCCTGCTGGGAAGGCAGTAATCTCTAGAGGGGTGGTAAGGCAGCCAGCCGGGGCCAGTACCAGTTTCAGCAATGCTGTCTTAATCCACTGTGGAGTATATCAACATGTCAGTTGCAACGAAAAATTCTGAGAAAGCCTGGTTACTGACTCACCACAGGGAAGATCAGCTTCACGCTATCGCTTAATTCATACACGACTGTGTCATTACTCTACAGATGAAATCAGAGAGACAATTTCTTTTATTGCTTGGAGAGATTGAATCAACAAAGATGGTGTTGGTTCATTTGGGGTTTGTTTGTGCTTATAAAAAGAAGGTTTGCGAAAGCAGTGTTCATAGGGGACTGCTGTCACAGGCAGCTCGGAGCTGGTGCGGCGTGTACTGTGGGGCTGTGTGTGACACACATCCTGTAGCGACTTGGCTGTATTGGGACCTTTCCTGGGAACTGAACCGGTGTGTGACAAGGCAGGTCTTGAGCTACACATTTCTTGGAACTGTGTAAGTATGGAATGTGGATAAGTGAGGCTCAACGGCTCCACAGTGAGTTCATGTAAATAGGAATCTGTGAAATTAGATAAATTAATAGAAGTTATACGATCTAATTTATAATGAAATGTAAGCATCACTTAAAGCAGAGGAAAAATGACACATTTAAAAATACTTATATTTAGGATGTTGAGATGCCTAGATGTTTGGCAAGGATATCTTACTGTTATTAGTAATTGTGATGGATGGAAGAAATGTCAGTCTTCACAGGACACACAGTCTAGAAATGTAAAAATTCAGAACCAATATCATCCTAAATTGCATAGCTGTTTATACACGCCACATTCCAAAGGAGGAAAAATGCACCTAAACCATAGTTATATATTAATTAAAAATGAGCTAAAGTCTGTGTTTCTTCACCAGTACTGCTGCTACTTCTTGTAGTCTGTATTAAGATGCAGTTCACTTTGCAGTTTTTTTTCTCAAAGAATATGTGAAAAGATTTTGACAAAATGTTTGGCTGAATAACTTTTCATAGCTATCAAAATCAAATGTTATATTGGAGTCATCTAGGCCTGGGCAATATTGCTGTGATTTAGTAGCTGAAAACAGTGAAACCAACTCCGATGACTAGATACTTTCAATAGGTCTCAGTAAAATGCCATAATATCCCCGTAATCTAGCAATGGTCAACATACCTTTTCATGGTCAACGTGATGTGAGTTGAATTTTAACTGTTAATTTAAAATTGATGAAATTTGAGCAAGAACACAGTGCATATGTTAAAAATGTATTTATTGAATGAAAGATTCTAATGACCAGTGCTTACTGTACGTATTAAGTATGTGTTATTTCCCCGTATTTCAGTGTTCAGAAGAATCCTGAAACAAAAGAAATACATATTATTTCTACAGTCTTCAGAGTGTCTGCATATGTAAGTATGAACAATTTTTTTGTGCAGGATTTTACTGGAAGTAACATGCATAACATGAAAATAATGAATTGACATTTACACAAAGAAAGCATAATATTCCATTTAAAGGGATATTTTTCCATAGTTGTTGTCATTTTTTATTCATGAACTCCTTCCTTGATCTCATCTTTTCTTGTCCACTTTACTAACTCTTCATCAATAACCACCAACTAAAGTTTTATTTGGTAGCTCACTAAAAATAGCTTTGCTGGATTACACTTGCAGTCATCCAGAAACTAGTTTATGAAAAAAATGTATCTTTAGGGCTAAGTAATTCTGGGTTTAGATCTACTTGAGATAGCAGTAAGGAGTAAGACTCCACTCTTGACTTTGTATAATTCCGTTTTTAGAAATGTTGGCAGAGCTTTCGGCAGAGCTTGCGTTGCATCTGTTTCTGTAAAGCCTGCAAGGAAGTTTAGTATACAGAGAGGCTGGGGTGGTGAGGTGACAGCTAACCTCTTTTCTCCTCCCTTGTCAAGTCTCGTTCCTACCTGTTTCTCTTGCAAAATCCTACATTTACCATCGAGATAAGTTTGAGAACTGGCTGCATGTTTACTAGGTTCAGCATATCTGTCATTCAATTGCTACATTAGGATGAACTACTCCAAATTCTTCCTGAGTGACCAAAATGTGTAATAATTAAAACGTCAGATAATGTGCCCACTTTCAAAAGACCTAGCTGATGTCATTCCAGACTGCACAAACTGCCCCAGAAGGTGCCAATAGCCCAGTTGTTCAGCTCTGGGTCATTGCTGTATGTGATTCACAACAGGCTTTTGAAAGGTTTTTGAAAATAAGCACTTTATGGGTGTATCAAAATTGACCTTTCTACTAGGCTGCAAACTGTAAGTAAAATAAACTAAAAAAAGCAAACCCCTGATAACTTGATGTTCTTCTGTTATTAATCTTTCCTCCCCGTCTCTGAATCAAATGTGTTGATGTGAACCTCACAGGTTGCCATGGGTAGGTAGATGCATGCTTTTTAAGAGCTCCCCTATCTTTGCCTTACATTAAATATCATCAGTATTAAGAGGAGAGGAAAGGAAAGGAAAGGAAAGGAAAGGAAAGGAAAGGAAAAGGAAAGGAAAGGAAAGGAAATGAAAGGAAAGGAAAGGAAAGGAAAGGAAATGAAAGGAAAGGAAAGGAAAGGAAAGGAAAGGAAAGGAAAGGAAAGGAAAGGAAAGGAAAGGAAAGGAAAGGAAAGGAAAGGAAAGGAAAGGAAAGGAAAGGAAAGGAAAGGAAAGGAAAGGAAAGGAAAGGAAAGGAAAGGAAAGGAAAGGAAAGGAAAGGAAAGGAAAGGAAAGGAAAGGAAAGGAAAGGAAAGGAAAGGAAAGGAAAGGAAAGGAAAGGAAAGGAAAGGAAAGGAAAGGAAAGGAAAAGAAAAGGAAAAGGAAAAGGAAAAGAAAAAGAAAAAGAAAAAGAAAAAGAAAAAGAAAAAGAAAAAGAAAAAGAAAAAGAAAAAGAAAAAGAAAAAGAAAAAGAAAAAGAAAAAGAAAAAGAAAAAGAAAAAGAAAAAGAAAAAGAAAAAGAAAAAGAAAAAGAAAAAAGACAAAACTTTGTCAACTTTTGGAAAACAAAAAAGTGGATGGACAAAAGAAAATCCAGCATGAATCCAGAGCAGGCTATCCTGCCTGTTGTCTTGGGGGGAAATTGGGCTTTACTGCCCGTTCTGAAAATGTGTGAAGTGGAAAAGAATTCTGAAATTCTGATTCCATTAAAGAATATTCTGAAGAATTTTCTCTCAGAATAAAGACTGACTTAAACAGGAATATCTGGATGGTCTGATGGCTCCGTGGATCAAAACCCCTGAGACTCTACTTGGAACTGACAGGAAGGGCACCTACTAGAGCACAAATGTTGTGCTTGTGATGGAAAGTTTCTCTCAAGGACATAGCTACATTGCTGTAGGAGAGTTAGTTTCTGAGTTCATTTGGTAAACAACTGTAGAGGGTGTTGTTATAATCTTAAAGTTGACCCAACCATTTTTAAGCCATATTTTCTTGATTTGTGTCTGAAAGAAATGCACATTCCCTCTTAGCCTGATAGAAATGATAAAAAGCTGTTCTGGTAAAAGTGGCTTGAAGAGCAGCTGAGAAGCTAGAACACACATCTTTGAAAGCTGGATTAATAAATGGACAAATAAATATCCTTGTATATTTGCACAAGTAGAATAGGATCAGGGATTAAGAGCTTTATATAACACAGTCCTGACACTATCCGTTCCTTTTTATTTGGTTCTTAGCTGTGGCCAAGAAGCCCATGTTTTGGGAACAGTATCTGAAAAAGCACACTGTCAGAGGTGTAAATATGTCAAGATATTAAGGTGTATTATAAATGCCTGTAGATCTGCTCAGCATCACAACTCGATAGACCTGGGCATCACAAGAGAAATAACTTTCAACCCTGTGACCAAGTACTCTATTGAACTCCAAATACCCTTGAGAGCTTTGGGGCATGCATATGATGAAATGCGGTTACAGCTGATGTATTTGGGTGCTGACTGGTATTTTAGGACTTTCTTTACCTAAACCCAAACTATGGCCGTGACAGAAATCAGTGTAATGCATAGTTTATTAAAAAAAAAATTAAAAATAATAATTGTTGATTAAATGATGCAGTTTTGAGATATATTCAGCAGTCTTTATTTCAGTATTATGCTATGCATTATGCTATGCATATGTACTCTCAAATCATCAGCTGATTATCTGTGTTCCTATGAGGAAAAAATAAAATGATCCCACTCTAACATCAGTAAATCAATCATTACACCCCCTGTGTGTCTGAACCAACATCCACACTGCAGATGGAACTGGTGTGATTCTTCATTCGGGTACATGCAGCCTATTGCTCTAAAAACCAGAGCAAGTCTGTAAATTCCAGAGCCTTTATGCTCAAGGATTTTAGGGGGGTTATGACTTCTTTTACTAATTAAAATAAATCGAAGAGCCCTTTTCATTTAGTTAATTATATTTATTATTTTCCTGGAGTTTCTTGAAATGCCTCATCACCAGAACTTGACTCGGTTTTGGTTTTGAGTTGTTGGACCAATTTTTAGTCCGCTAACACTGCCTTTAAACAGTCAAAACCTCAACTACATCGGTTGATTCCGTAAGGACTGCAGGATCGGGATCTTCAGCAGCAATGGGATAAAGGTTTAACTAGCAATCACATCTTGGTGTTGGTTTCCTCTTCCTTCTTTTCAGTTTCGAGCATGAGCTTAGGTTATTTTTGGTTCAAACTCCGAAGGCATTGTGCTTTCTCTCCTTGCTGCTGTTGAGAATCCAGCGTTCGACACGCACGTACCCCTAAGACACCTGAAGAGCGCTAGCCGTCCTAACAAGGGAGGTACAGAGCTTGTGCGCTGCGGTGCTTAAAAACAGAGTGCTGGCTTTAGCTTGCGGCATTCCACTGCCATCAGAAAACGCCGTGAATAAACATCATCAGATCTCTACTTGTCTTAATGCTTTTCTGGTGGCGCTTAAGATTTATGGTCTTTCATAACACCCCAAAGGAAGACACTGGAACATATAGTAGAGATTTCCAGAGCATGTAGTGGGGTTTCATCCTCTTTGAAATACCAGGAGAGAAAAAGGGGTGCCAGTAACAGCTACTGGGTAAAATTCACAAACAGCGCTTGAAGCAGAAATTGGAACCCAGGCCTTTTCCTTCTAAGCCGACTACCGTACCCACTGCGAGAGGCCACAGTTTTCACAGTTCCTTGGTCCGAAAAAAAAGATGGTTTATTTTATGCCGAGGAAGAGAGCTTCAACAACAGAAGTGAGAGGCGTGTCTCCAATCGGGAGTAGTCTGGGAGTTTAAAATTTTCATGGGGAAAATGGACAATATATGCAATACAGCAGTTTCCCTGAGGCAAAACAATGGAACAGAACCGGCCTCTCTTTGACTGTTATGTAAAGGTGTTGGGGAGTCGGGGGAAACTGTTATGTGCTTTAAAAGAAAGGCGGCATCAGCTGCGTATTTGTAGAACTTTTAGATAATCCATTACCAGACTGAATGAATATTAAAAAAAAATCTACCCCCCACCTAGTTTCCAGACCCCAACTAGTTTTGAAGTGTGTGTCAGGCCATGCTGCCCTGTCAGCGCTGATGCTTTTATTGACGTGGGCAGGTGTAGGGTGGGAAACTGAAGAGCCCCGCGCTCGCGGTGGCGGCTGTCAGCTGAACGCATTGGTTCAGCATGAGGATGCTGGAGCTGGGAGCCCAGATTCGCTTCAAACCCTTCCTGAGGACTGGCACACAAAACGTTTTCAGTAACAGTTCAAAGTGGTTTATAAGAGCTGTAATGAGGGTTTTCCTTAAATGCAAATATTTGAAACTGAACAGATGCATTAGCAAATGTTAAGGGAAGAATTACTGATCGAACAGCCTTATGTATCGATACTGAGCTCCTAAATGTTTTTCTGTTTCAAAGGAAACGCGATTGGACCATTGTATGTTTAATCATCTGTATTTTAGGCTTTAGTTGTGCAAACACAAGCTTACATGTTTAATTTTACATGTTATATTAATATTACATTTGCCTCAAGGTTGTTGGAACGATGGCAGGCATAACGACTGTGCATTTTGTTGTGTCAGGATCCTCATAATGCTGCTTAAAGAAACGACGGTCTATGTGTTCTCTTTTGCCATGAAGTAAACGGTTACAGTTGGAACAAAACGATACATTTCATTCAGATTTTATGTGTTCTCTCATGTTGTCGCTAACACTGGTTGGGTTTTTTCACTTTCCCTCAGGATGGCAACGGCCTGTGTTACCCTTCGAGCAAAAGCCACGAGCAGACTTTTGCCTACTTGGTCGTGGACCCCTGCAAGCGACATGTGCACACCCTGTACCACTGTTTTGGTGAAAGCTCATTTACTGGCTAGTTATAAACCAGGATGCTCTCCAGCGCTGTAATGGTGGTGCCCTTCTCTGCGTTAATTCAGGCAGAAATGGCCTTTTTTCTCACGAAGGAGGACGTGCTCCTTGACTCCACACTCTGAGAGGCTACACCTTCACGTAGATGTTACTGTGCCATCAGTGACGTCAGTTCTTCTGTTTTTACAAGGCAAAACTTCTTGAAGCTGTTCGTGGCAGTTCTGTGCCCCCCTTCCTCACCCCTTGGATCTAATAAAAGGGATTTCTCTACACGTCCTGTCTCTATGAACCAGCTTTTCGGATCCGCGACACATAAGCGCAGGAGGAGGCTCCAGAGCCAGCGAAATCTCTGCGAAATGGGGAAAAAGTGCGCCAGGCCGCCCGGCCC